TTGGGGTTGGTGCCACAGCAGCGTCGCAAGGCAGGCGTTCTTCTGCCATGTTGGCCGCCTGACCCCGTGGCACCCGGCCAAAAGACGTGGCCAGCGCAGCTCCCAGGCTCATCGCTTGCTCCATAGAGTCGGTGGCGTCGACGAAGACGTGGTAGAGGTCATCCCACGAGGTTTCCATTCTCTTCCAGCCGAGTCGTTCGGCCATGGACATGTCCCCCCGACTGACTGCGTCGGCTATGTTCGCCTGCGAGGTGACTCTTTCCCAGTAGGGCTGGTGGTCGCACTTGTTCAGGAAGCTCCACAGGAGTCCCAAGAGGCGGTTCACCTTGGTGTCCTTGCCGAATCCTCGCTGGAGCGCAAATTTGCCCGGCTCGTTATCGATGAAGCAAATGCTCATCTCTTCCATCATTGGCATGCCGACAATGAGGCACAGGAGTTGGGCAATGATTTCCAAGGCATAAATGAATGCCCTACGGGTGGTGAACCGTCCGAGGAGCCGTCCAGGGATCTCGCCATGGGCATAATGACACTCACCGTCGGGTCGGCGAAGCACAAAGCCCCAGCCGTTCTTCATGAGGTTCGTGGCTTCCGCGGTCCAGCCTGGTTGCTCCAGTGCCGTTCGGACCGACAGTCTCTGATCTCCAGCCTGAAAGTATGCATCAGCGTACACAATTGTGCAAGCTGTTTTGGTAAAGTTGAATGTTCTTGGTTTGAGACTCGGTAAGACATGCAATAACGTTTGCAAAGCGTCTGTGATCCCACTGCCTAGTGGGGTTTGTGCATGTTGAATGGGTGCACTTGCGCGTGCATACAGTGGCTGTATGCAACAGCGTATGGCCTGGGACATGGTAGCCTCGGATATGAATTGGAGCTTGCCGGCCAATCGAGTGGCCTCATCCGAGGACATTGTGGCCTTGTGCAAGTGTCCGCGCAGTTGTGCTGTGATGCGCTGCATGCGACCGAGTTCGGTGCTAACGGTGAAGGACGTGGCATCGATGGACATGATGACGCCTTGGATTAACTGCCGTGGGGCGGGGGGTTGGTCTTTGCTTGGTTTGAATTTGAAGCCCACGTGCTTCATGATGTGGTGCACACAATCAAAGCCCGATTGGATCGTTTGTTCCGGTTCGATCGATGCATAGTCGTCCACATAGTGCACCATGGGTGAAAGTGTGAGGGCACGGCATAGCCAGCAAATCATGTCTGCTGTGCGTGTGTACGACCACACCGAGGCTGTGCTCCCGAACAGGAGGCATCTATGTTTCCAAAGCGTCCACCCCCCAGGGATTCTGACCAACACGTGGGTGTGATCGGGTTCGGCTACTGGTAGTTGCCGGTATGCTGACTCGTGGTCGGCCCCCCACAGGTGTGTGCTGAATCCTCTTGCATGGAATTCATTGGCGACTGCAATGAATGTATTGACCCTATGTGTTGGTGGGATGTCTTCCCCCTCGATTGTCTCGTTGTGCCTGCTTCGTTTCCAGTCCTCGCACCGTCGGACCTTGGTCTGTCCATCGGCGCCGGTCTGCTCGACCGAGAATGCAAAGCTTGTGGGGACGTGGTGTGATGGCCCCTCCTTCAGTGCCTGTGTGTTCGGGTGATGAGTGGAGGGGATTGTCCGTATGCCCCAGCTCGGTGGGGCTGTCAGGGGACCGATCATTCTCTGTTTCTCGATGTCTTTCGAGATTTCCTCCAGCAGTGACTGCCAGTGCTTATCCGGTTTTGTCTGGTGCACTCTGGACAGTACATGCTCTTCGTTCAACTGCATGAACGACGACAGACGCATCGGCTGTGCGTACTTCATGTCTTGTCTCTTTTCCCAACCTAGGCCTGGGCTCATCTTGCCCAGCACTGGAAATCCTTCTTGGATCTCGGCTAGCAATCTCTGGTCCTCCCACCCAAACTTGTGCAGGAGTTGGGCTAGTAGTGGGAAGTGAATTCGGTTCGGGCCTGATGGATCGAGAACGATTCGAATGTTTTCGGGTCTCAATTTGTGCCAGGCCTGGATGGAGATCGTCCTCGAGGTCCAGTGCCATGTCCGTGATCTCCTCGATCAGCTGTGCTCTGAGGGCTGGCAGCCGCTGGTGCCATTGGTGCCATAAATTGATGGTCTGTGTCAGGCCCGGTTCAAGTGGGTCGGCCACATCGTGCGGGTGGCTTCTGAGCCAGCTGGCTTGCCAGTGTTGGTGAAGGCATGTGCACTGGGTCATCCAGTGTTCGCCCTGCTCCCCCTTGTGCGGTCCACTGGCGAGTGGTCCTGATGCCCAGATCGATGCCAGGGTGTCGATGGCTGTGTGTCCAAGCGGGTCCAGCTCCGGCCCCGGCGGGAGCGAGGCCTCCGCTGCTGGGAAGCAGGTCAGCATGGTCATCACCAGGATGGCGGTGCCTAAATGCCAGCTGTTCGCCAGGATCTTGTGTCGTTCTCTGTCGTCCTGGGCTGGTGCCGTGAAGTCGTCCTCCAGGTGGTGGAGGCGCTCTTTCACCAGGATGCTCGGTGTCACGAGCTCACCCCGCTCGTTCTCGAACAGGTTCTCTTGGCGGAAGTGCCATGGGGCGAATTGGCGCCCGGACAGTTCCCATCGGTGGAACGTGGCAGAGTCCAGTTTCCCTTTCACGGATCTGGGCGCGGGGCGTCCCTCAGGGCCTGGTGCTGGGGATGTCAGGGTGGGGAGGGTCTTGCCTTCCTCGAGGCACTTCGGGGGCTTCCACCTAGGAGGCAGAATGGATGCCACTGGGTCTGGGGGGAATTCGAACGTCAGGTGATCTGTGTCATAGAGCTTCGTCCATCGAATCCTCCAGCCCATGGCGGTCTCGCCAAATTGCTGCCACCCAGCATCTGTCCAAAAGACTCGGGGTCTCTTGACAAGTCCCCAGTCCTGGGCATCCATGATGATGGCAGGGACTCCCACCTCCGCCTCAAAGTGGCGAAGATCCGCTTTGCGGCTCATGATCACGTTTTCGATCATGCGTAGGACCTTCCTCTCCCTGAAGAGAGCGCTCGGGGCCGCGAACCAGCGGAGCATGTTGTCGAACTTCTGGCCCTCGGGGCCGTCCCTGCCTGGGGCATCAGGTCGGATTCGACTGAAGTCCGGACACGGCGGTGCGGCCGTGAGTAGGATCGTGCACTCCTGGTTCGGGTCGATCTCGTCGATGCGGGCCTTCAGGGCTGCCTGTTCATCCTGGAAGATGTCACCCCTCTGCTCGAGGTCCGGCCATCGGTGGGACGATATGGCCACACAGGCTTCGTCGATCTCCCAGGAGATTCGGTGCCAGATGCGGCGACTGCCAATCACGATGTCGGCAGCCTCGTGAGCGATCCCGCAGCCGTCGAAGACACTGAGGACGATCCAGGCCTTTGCGGTCGGCTGTGGTGTGGGTGTTCCGGGGGCGATGTATCGACTCAGCCGGCTGTCAGGCTGTGGTGTCAGTGTTTTCTGCCGCTTCGGCCCGGGTACTCCCTCTGGTTCAGGGGGAGCCCCGTGCTGTCCCTAGCCAGAGTGCTTCCCCGCCGAGGATTTCTTCCACGGCTGGGACTGCCATGCATCACTGGACTTCCATTGCGGCCACTCTCGTTTCCATGGGCGATCCTGCGAGGACTGAGGTGAGGTCCAGGATGATGACTCCTGGCGGTCGTGCTTGCCGCCTCCCTTGCCCTTCGATGGGGGCTTCCGTGCCTGTGGCTTCGTCTGCTGGGGCTTCGCGATGGTGAGCTCCTTCATCAAGGCGGCCTGGAGTGCGCCCGTGTCGTCCATGAGGGTCTGGGTACAGTGGGCGAAGGTGTGCCCTTGGCGCATCAGCAGGGCGATCCGCCAGCCCCCATCGAGCCAGTAGGTCTTCAACTGCTCGATTTTCCCCGGTCGGGATCGGAAGAGTTGCTTCCACCAGTTGATGTAGGCCTTGATGTCGAGTTCATGGCCCAATTGGCAGAGGGTCCAACAGAGCTCAATCGCCTCCAGGGCATCCATCAAACTCAAGAGGCCCTTGGGGCTCCACTGTTGCTCCTCCTCGATCACTATCGTGTTGTGCTCTTCATCGACCGCCAATCGGCTCTGAGTTTTCTGGCGGAGCTCTTTGTTGAGCGAGTTGAGAGAGCCCGAACTGTCGAAGCACCTCGCTTCGAGGATTTCATGGAGCTGTGTTGGCGTGAATTGGTGGGAGATCCACGCCTCGTGCCAGATTCGGGCCATGACCCGTTCGGCACCGACCAGCATTTTCATCGGAAAATCACGCTGGCGTCCGGCAATTTCTGTGTCAGCATAGAACTTCACGAGCTTCTGGAGTTCTTGAGGAGGTATCTCCCGCGGCACAGTGGGTGCCGATTTGCTCGTCGTTGGTTCGGTCGGTTGGCCTCCTCCTGCTGGCGGGGGCAACCCGAGTGGCTGGCTATTGGCGCCACTGGCTTGGGCGTGCATGCCGCCTTTGTCCCTGCACTGATTCCACAGGAACCGAAGTGCAGCCCTCACCACCGGGCCTTCGGTGGAGGAGATCTTCCATTCTGTGCCTTCGATCTCTTCGCCCTCAAGCAGGGGCTTGAACAGTAGCTCATCAATCTCTTGAAAGGAGTCGGCCATCGCGGCCAGAAGTCCGGTTGAGAGGACCTGCTTGGCTCGCAGGTACCCGTGCAGCTTCTCCGGGAGGCCGCATGCGGTTGCAAGCGCTGCGAGCTCGGCCGACATGGCGCGCATCGAGGTTGGTTGCGGGGGTGGCGCCCACGAGGCGTCGTCCCAAGTTGCCTGATCCATGAAAGGGATCGGCTCCGAGAATGGTGTGTCACACAGGGGTCCTCGGAACCTCAGGGGTCTTCGTCTCGGGGGGGCCACGATGCGAACGACTTCGGAACCGTTAGATTCCCCAGAGGCCTGGTGGTCTAAAGCTTGGTGTGGCCAGGTAAGTGCACGACAGTGACGAGTGGGGGCCTGGTGGTCTAAAGCTCGGTAGGGCCAAGTACGCTCGCGCCGGCGTTCGATCCGTGCGGTGCAGGGCATTTCACTCGGAATCGCTGCTTGTCGATGAGGTTTCGGACTCGTCGGATTGGCGGTCCATGACCTCTGTCTCGGAGGAAGCCCCCGCGGCTTCGGGGGTGTCGGGAAAACATTGCCTACATGGCTGGTCAAGTCGGTCCGAGCGCCGGAAGCGGGTCAATCCATATGGTCGCCCGCACTTCGTGCGCCATTCGGCCGGAACGGCCCCGTTCTCTCGCGGGTCCGGCAGGTGGGCCTTCCGAATTACCACGTATTTCGGTGGTGTGTTCAAGGAGGCGACCTTCTTGGCCAGGCTCTCCAGTTTGGTGCGGAGCTCCGCCAAGTCAGTGTCCCGCACGAACGAGGGTCGTGCATCGGGGGTTTCTGGGTGACCAAGCGGTCGGCACGGTCGAAGGAGTGATGCCTCCTGAATGTACCTCTGGATGGCATGCGAGCTCCAACAGCCCAGCAGGAGGATCGTGTTCGTGTCGACCCCATGAGCCGCCAGGAACTGGGATCCCGCCACCCGCAGTGAGTGGCCACCAAAGCGCTCCAGGGAGCGTCCATTGGGTCCGACCCGGGTGGTCTCGGTGCCTGTCAGGCCGATGATGTTTCGAATGGCCTTGATGGTGTCCGCCTTGGACCTGGTGTGACCTCGGCTGTCCGGGAAGAGGGGTGTGCGGTCGGTCATGAGCTCGATCTTGTCGATCCGACGCCTCAGGGCATGAACGATGCACAGAGGTTCGGTGCCTGCGGAGCAGGAACACACGTGGGATCTCTCGATCATCTCCCCCTTTGTGTCCGTCTTTGACACGGGAAGGCTCCAGTGAACAACGGGGTGGTCGGAGGAGGTATGCTCGAAACGAACGTGAGAGGCTCGAGCGTTCGCGAGTTCGATTTCTCGCATGAGGAACCAGGAGCCGCTCAGCACCATGATGTAGTCGTCCTCGATGCGCTGGAAGTCGGGCAGGTCCCATAGTGTCCTAAGCAAGGTGAGGTCAAACGAGTCCTTGAGTTTGGAGGGGCCCAAGCCGCGTTCGATGCTCCGCACGGCATCCTTCATGCTGAGTTCGACTTCGACAGGGATGTCGCCGTGGCGAACGACGTGTTCGCGTCGGGCTGCGCTGAAATACAGCTTGGCTGATTTGTACCCTCCGGCTTTGAGGGAGGCCCCCACTTTCTCGATGAGGTCCGGGGTCAGTGGCCATGGGGGCACGTGCCACGCTCGGGCGATCGTCTCCCATGTCTTGACTCTGCTGTTGTGTGGGTGCGAGTTGCTCCTCGCCCAAATGTCCTCCCGAAAGGATTTCAAGGTCCGGTCCGATTGGTTGGCCTGTGCCGACTCGAGGGCCCGCTTGAGGCTGCCCCCCGTGGAGGGATTGATCTTGGGAAGGTCTCGGCGTGGATCTTTCGGTGGGCCATCCTGGTGTGTCTCCAGCCAGGTGGCCAAGGGTATCTGCAGCATGGATGTCTCCTCATCAGTCAGGTCGAGTCTGGACCATCGGGGTCGTTGAGCTGCCAGAACGGATGGCGATGTCCAGCCCAGTTCGACCAGCGTGGGAAGGATGCGTGTGACGGCCGCTATCTCGCAGGCCGCTATCACGGTGTTCCATCGATCGGCCAGAGCCATGCTAACGGCTGTGGTGAGCGCACAAAGGGTGCGAATCAAAACATGGATGGAGGGGGTGTGGGGATCCGACGATCGACACCAAGTCACCGAATCTAAGTGCTGCACATCTGACGAATGAGCGTCAGTCCAGGTGTTCGTCTCTGACTAAGGTCCCAACACCGACCGGCATCGAGCGAGTTTTCATACCTAATCCGTGCATCCGGTTTCACGCTTATGGTGATTCGAACTCGAGGCGGCGACGTGCCAGGCGCAAGTCATCTGGGTCCTGGGTCGCCAATGCCATCATGGCATCACCGATCGCTGCGACCTGGCGATTTCGCTTCACGACTGCCGTGCGGCCGATCAGGTGTGCGTCCTCAAGGTATGCACACAGGGTCTCAAACATAAACTCCATGGGCCAGGCATTGGTCAGGTGAGCTCCTCGGCGCAGTCCTCGAACCACGTGGATGCTGCGAGCGGCCGTTTCCACCCAAGTCTCCAAACGAATGTTGGTCCACCCGCTGAAGATCTCCATCAAAGGCCGTGGCCGAATCTCGGGCGGACTGTAGAAGTCGCCCACGTGCTTCGTGAGGCGGATCAAGGAGGGGTGCACCTCGTCGGCAGTATCACGGGCCAAAGTGACGGCGGCCATCGTGATGGGCAAAGTGCCGTTCGTCCGGTTGTCCACGAATTGACACCTGCTAATATTCCATAGGCAGGTGAAGATGTCGCCCAGCCCATCCCACTCAGTGGGATAGGTCCGGCTCCGCGTCAGCAGCCACCGCGCCATCTCCAGCGCCATGGCATTCGGGCCGCTGGTTTCCACCATCCTCGGTGTCAACCACAAAAAAAACTTGAGCCCGACCTTCGGTCGACGCCAGCTCTGTGTCACTGCGCACAATTGCTTTGTGCTACCCAACAACAAAAAAACTCGACGGCGAAGGAAAAATGGATGGCCTGTGGCTAGACATGTAGAACAAACACATGCCCTTTGTGTGAGATGATTGGTGTTCCAATGATCCAAGGTCTAGTGTTTAGTACCTGACCTGACCGACTTATGACTATGATTCATGCTTCGATCCACATATATTTCTATATAACTGTTCCAAAGGAAGGACACTTGGATTTAACAAGGCCCGGCACTTGAATTTGCTGTCTAGGAGCCGGGATAGCCAACAAAAGACTTCCACTGGGTGAGTCGGGTTGGCCAAAAGGCTGCAGAGGACATCTAAAAACACATGTGACAAAATATACGCAAATCAAAGTCATATACTTGAGTATTAAAGAATGTATAATATATATATATATATATTATATAAGATATTATATATATATATGTGTGTTTATTTTATCTTGTCTTATTCTGTTAAGTTCCGTTCTATTTTGTCCCTCTGCCTCCCAATGGACAGAACAGGGTTTTCCTTCCAAAGCCCATTGCGATGGACGGGGCTCCCGGCGATGGCCTCTGTGGTAAAGGCCCTAGGGCGTCACGAGAGCTTTGTGGGGCTCTAATCCCTATGGATCCAGTGTCACCTTCTTAGAAAGTATCTGGGCCCTCCAAGCCGCCTATACCTAACTAGTCTCTAATCACCGGACCTCAGCTCTGTCGTTCGACTAGTCTCTAATCACGCCCGGCTCGGATTGACAAGGACACCACCGTCCCACGATCGCGAATGAGGCACCACCACACATCGAGGGCGAACTGCCAAGTTTGGAGGGTATGTCCAGCCGGGCTCCAGAAGCAGCCGGGGCTCTTAGAGCCGGAGCTCATCATGGGTAAACAAAGGCCTCGCACCGAATACCCCACCACGAGGTGCCATCCCAACCACAGGAATGGCTGCCATCCCACCTATGACGCCTGTTCGACCGTGTAGTGGGGTATCTAGCTGGAACGAGTGAATGACGGACCAATGCATCCAGGTGCCTCGCTCCCACTCTACCGCTATACAAAGAAGGTCGCATCCGCTCCGTCCGACCGACGACTCGCGGCCGCAGGAGGCTTTGGTATGAATTGATGACATGAAGCTTTTCCCTACACCTCCAGTCGTACCTCCTCAGAAGGTATGACTGGACCCTCCTGGCACCCACCCCAGTCCCACCTTCTCAGAAAGTATTTGGAGGGGTAGGGTAGGGTTTGGAGCCCCAAAAAGCATATGTCCTTTTGTGTCCAACAAAGGAAGCAGGAGACCCAGCTGGCTGGAGACCGGTTTCAGGAACCCGAACAAAACGGACGATTCTTGGAACCGGACACCACCGATATGACTCTTCACAGCTGTTCTGGGCTCCTATACACTCAACAAAAACTGATAATACCTACTGACCTACTGTACGGGAAGGGACTGGAGGATTGGAAGTGCTGGCTCGCTTTGATGCTGTTCTCACCGTTCTCCACTTTACGAGTCCCTTGATCATGGAAAAAAAGGCAAGTCAAACTCGTAAATCGGCGACCATCACCAGAATCTGAAATTAGAAGAAGCTGTAACACTCCGCCAAACGCGTCAAATAATTACTCTATGACTTAATATATTATACACATATATACACGTTGCGACCCCCTCAGGGCTTCAACGACCTCCTCAGAAAGCAGTTCAACTCTCTGAGCCTACTGACCAAACACAAGTTTTGCGCCTCTGAGAAAGTTGGAGACCCCAGGGATACTGATACTATCGTGCCAAAAAGGCTTGTGAACATTCCGGGTTTGAAACCACGCCCCTACGAAAACCTCGAGAGATGTCAACATCGGTGAAACAAACACTTCGAACACCTATGGTGTCTGAGGAACTTGCTTCAGACCTGCTAGCAACTCCCTGCTTCCGCCCCCCTGAGGCCCCCCTGCAGCGCAACTTCTGGAGGCAATGGAGGCTCCTTTCGTCGAACAAAGTCGGTTCCTTCTCCGGTTGACAACCCACAAAGCCCGGTTGACCATATTACTTCCCAAGCAAAACAAGAATTTACGGAGATCATCGACCTTTAACTGTTGGGGCCACCCTGTTCCACGTCTAGGTTTCTCTGCTTGAGGCCCGGCAAGTTGATCTGAGGATACGGATATAAGCTCGTTGTAATTACATTTGGACCATGGGATCATCTATATATAACTTTACATTAAGGGTGGTTGAAAAGGTGTCAATGTATGTCAATATGCAATACATGAAGTGTCTGGTATAGAAACCAATAACAGTAGTGCGATGATCGAAAACTATGTTATCGCTCGACCATTCGTACCAGTGATCTCAGGTATGCACAAGGACAGCTATTCATGGAATCTCTCAAGACTCCTTCCCTTTCAACGCTTCGCTCCAAGTGATGAGCAACAGCGGCTGAAACAAACCGCTATGATCATCATGGGTTGTGAATACGTGGCTGTTGCTGCTGCTCACAAGAATCAAGAACACATTCAAAGAACAAAAGATCAACACAAACACACACACACACACAAAGACTGGGACTCCCATCGCAATCATTCCTTCAGCCCTCCATTCGGCCGGCTCCGGTCCGCGAATTTCGGATGGATGCAAGGTCGGTCGAAGAAATGTCTTCTGTTTATATCGTCTGCTTCGGATCGAAAAAAGCGACGGCTCGAGCACATCACCAGGTGCTCGAGCCATGTCAAGAATTGGACCAGCAGTCACATGCCAGGGTGCCGAACTTGGAGGATAGGGGTGCCCCTGTCACATCCACTCACTGGATGGGCCCAAACACCACCCCTTTGTAACTCCTGGGAGATTCAACAAGATTGAACATGGTTGAAGGACCAAAGCACAAAGGACCAAGTTTGGCACGTGAGTTTGATCGCGTTCATCTTGAAGTCATGGTTACATCGAGCTACCTGAGGCTACCTGATCTGAGTACTACAGACTGTACTACAGTAGGTCACCCTGTGATCCACTTCAATCTTGGACCTTTGGGAAAGCCATCCTTTCCTCCATTCAAGCCACTTGGACCACCAATGACACACCTCCATCCCGCTTGCACCAAGTCGCTGATTCATTGACCAAACTCTCCAAGTGCTCCATACTCTGCTGGCCCGCACGGAAGGTGGTGTTCAAGATCTGCGATGCGATGGCGATGCCCAGGACACCCCAGACCGAGACCCGACGCGAGTGGACACGTTGGACGGACACGTTGGATTGGCTGAGATTTTTTGAGACGCCAGGAAAAACAACATATCCCAGACGCTCCATGTATGGTATATATGCCGATCAGTTGGTGTGGTTTGAGGGGTCAATGATGGAGGGTTGGGGATGATTCCCCAGGTTAGGGGATTGACCCATTTCGCGAAAACCACCCATCGCCCCATCAGCAAAACCGGGGAGAAGAAAGGAATCAACAGAAAAGGAGTAAACACCCAAACACAGCTAGGTTTCAATTGGAAAGCCCTGTGAGAGAAATTGAGAGAACATGCAGGTTTTTGTCCACCACTCATCACATTCTAAGAAACAACGAAAAAGATGCCAAAACAAAACTGCACAGAACTGCACCGACAGTATACAGCCTAGGATGTGAACACTGCCAGAACACCAGTATACCCCTATTCTGAAGAGAATGGGTGCATATGACGAGCTACCTCAGGGATGCCAATCTAGAATTTCAGAGTTGGCTTAAAAGGTACATTTTACAGCAAACGCCATAGTTTTGGGCTGAAAGCCATAGGTTCCTGTAGATGTTCCCAATATGTTCGACCAATCCGTTGATGGAATCGTCAAAACCACTGAGCTCTGTCCACCAAACCACGTGTATAGAATGAGATCAATCTTATCAGCTCCACCTGTGGCTGGGGCGCTGAAATGGACTAATAATAGAATTACTGTAAATGTTGGACATCTTGAATCCTTGAAATATCGTTTAACCTACTAAAACATCCTCTTCTGGTATGTCCATCCAAGCCCGGTCACCCCTCTTTTCCCCTCAAAAGACGCTTCACCATCCCTTTCAAAGGGTTTTTAGGACCGCCTGCCCGTTGGAGTAGATCACGCGGCCCTCGCCCTGGACGCGGATTCCACAGATTCCGCAGATCGCGCCGAGATCGAGTCGAGGCCCTGCCCAGCCCATCCGGTGGTGTCCATCCACCGAAAGGCTCCTGGCCTACCTACTGAGAAGATGTAACCATGGTGGGTGGTTTTTTGGGGTCTAACCACGGCCTGAGGACCTAGGGATGTGTCAGTATATATGTCAAGTACAGTATATTAGGATATTATAGGATGATGGTCATCTCATGTAAAGAAAAGGCTGAATACATGTTAAAGCACATCTCTGAAACCGCTCAGGTCCTGATGTTTCATGTCACATCAGGTCAGAAGAGGCCAGGTTGAACAGAAACACATACCTGGACCTTCAAGGGTGTCCTGTCTGGAGGTCCCTAAGTAGTAGGGGCTTCCAGCCAGGTGACCGGGGCTCAGGTGCTGGGGGCCATGGGGGCCGGGTCCAAACCTGGACACGGACTGGTCGTCCACCCTCTAGCGAACGACCAGTCCAAACCTGGGGGAGGTTCCACCAGTCGGTCTGCCATGAAACACCCCCATATCTGAAACGACCACTCGAGGCGGTGGTTCTTCAGCACTCCAGGCCTCACCGGCCCCAGAAAAGGAATGAAAAGGATCTCCCACTGACCATGGACTGCTGGTTGCTTAATTTCACTGTCTGGTGTGATAAAGTGATATATATATATATACACTTACGTATACCGTATACTCCGTGATCCATCATACACCCATAGTGGCAATGAAACCTGCTGTCACAGCACCCTCCAGACCTACAACACTGGTAAGTGATAAGTGTGTGGCCGCTTCCAGCGTGGCCGGTGACTAAGTGTGAGTTCTTCACATCCAATTCACGCTCCAGCGGGACTCCTTGCGGCGCTTGTAGCTTCCAAGACATCCCCAACTTGACATCCCGAGAAAAACCCATCAGAGGTTCGATGGCACTGGCAGCCTAAGATGTCTTAGAAAAGATGGGGGTCCATATTCTCAAGCTGCATTTGGGAATGCGGAATCGTGCTAGAATTCGGCACATGTGCACTGCATGCATCTTCCATCAAGGATAGAAAGCAATGTATTCTAGGTTCCGATGTTTGGATGTATTCTGACCAAACAGCCTATCCCCCTGCAAAAAGTCATTCCAGTCGCATGCTTTTTTGAAGAAGCGCATGTCTAATCCAAATAGATCGTCCAAACCACAGCCTACCACAGCACAGCATAAAAACCCTAACACGCCCCCCCAAACACGCCCCCCCCCCCCCACGGCCACGGTCGTGGTGCACCTCCGGCACGTCTTCATGCCAGCCGCCCTCGTAGAGGCTTCCGTCGTTGAACTGGACGCGGAACGACACTGGACGCTCCCCAGGCCGAAGCTCGGCACCCCACACCAGCATCCGAGAACCGAAGCAATCAGTATATACGGTCTGCAAGTGGAGATATGGTGCTCTACCGTGCTTGGCCATCCAATTTTTGGACCCCAAAAACATCGTGCAGCACGAAGCACGTCACCCTGTACCCCGTGATTTCACACCAAAACAGCTTGTCAGATGCTTGTTGTCCCACTGTAGGTTCCAACATGGTTAACTCATCCCATCTTCCCGAGATGTTCGCTTCATTCGCCAAGCCCTGCCCCCATTTGCACGCCACAAAACACTGACGTGCACCGCCGGCCGTCAAAATGCCGTAGCCCTCTCGAAGATTTTCTCGGAACTCGCCCTGGTATCTGGTACCTGGAACGAACCGGGCTTCGAGTTCCCAGAGAAACGTGATGGAGTGTGCCCAGTTTTGGCTTTGGGAGCATCAACGGACGGAAAGGACCCCGCAGTTGGTGATCTGGAGAGCTGTTGGAGCAAACAGCGGACCGCTGTCACGCTGGGGACTGAAATTCAACAAGTTGAGACCCCAGGGCGCGTGGCGCGTGGCGGCCTTTGGGTTTTCTCGGGTCATGGTGCTGAAGGTCCCAACGGTGTGAGAATTCGGCCCCGCTTCGAATGGTGGAGCCAGGCCAGGCACGCCTGGCCTCTCAAAAGAAACAACATGGCGTCTACACAATATTCAATGAAATATGTGCTGCGCCGATTTCGAGCAACTGACTCCCGAGCAGCTCTTAGGACTCACCCTGGACTCCCCCTGTGAACTGCTTACTTAAGGGGGTGTCCCCCAAATTTCAGTGACCTGCAGACTTCCTGGGGTCAAATGACCTCTTTGACCTCTTGGGTCCCCAAAGTAGCGCTTGACTGGATTGTTGTCTGCCGTTCCTTGAACCAGCCGTTGTCCGTCTTCCATTGTCCTTTAGGACTCCCTGCCGTCATAGTACTTGTAGACACCCTGGCCATGCATCTTTCCGTTCACCCAACAACCTGAGAGGCGAAAGCGCGAGAATCGCCCTCGGACTCCAGTGGGAAGGAAGAAGAACCGAATCCATGGGGGTGGCAAAAAGGAACTTGCAAACATAACATATGTCAAGGGCGGGCCTTTTGCAAGAAAGTGGAGGTTCTCTTTGGGTATATTTGGGTCTGGGTTTTGTTGTGTGAATGGTCTGGGTGTATACAAAAGTCTAAAAGCCATTTTGGAAACTCACTTTTGCATCTTCCGGACCCCAGTTCTTCCTCCACCATTTCGGTTGCAGACGGTCTATCTCAAGCAATAGAAGTTACTTGGCAGGACCACATGAGAGATGGTCAAACATCACCGCTCTTCACAACATCTTGAGTAGTTACCTTGAACACCAAAGTTTCAAGATTTTTTAGGGAACTTTCATAAAACATGCTCCTTCTTGGAAATTGCACATGTTACCTTTGCAAGTTGCTCCTTGACTTCGTCCCCTGGCATTGCACGATCTTTTGACATATCACACGGACGGTGGCATTGCACGCTCATTCGTCGGCGGGCGGGCTAGCCGTTAGCCGGCTCCTCCTTTTTTCGACCACTGGGAAACGCTACTGAGACCTTCTCAGACTTTGCAGAAGATGTGGATATCAATTGTATTGCCGTCCTTCGGAAAGAGTTCCTGAGGTGAGCGAAGTGACAGGTGCAACGAGTCCGGAAGACCGAGTCCCGAGTCCCGAGGACGGGAGGGCGAACGACCCCACAGACGGTAGAGCAAAGTAAAAGCCTCTAGGAATCCACTGCCTTTCTCAGAAGCTACGACAGGACCCTCCAGTCGTACATATGAAAGAGTGTCCAATGTATATATGGATCCATCTATAGGGCAAAAGCAAACAAACACAAACAGCATCTGGTTTGGTCGATGTAGCAACTTGGAGTTGATCTTCAGGCTGTCAGGCTCGCACGCGAGGTCGGGGTGTTCAAGTGGTCAGTCGCTGGCGTGCTGTGTTTGGTCGTCGACCGTTTGTCTCGCTGTTCAAAGGTTCAACCTCTGAGTCCAGTTCTTTCTTAATGGTACGGCCACCCAAAGGAAAAGGATTCAGGAACCTGGACCATCCTGTCTGGGTGTCCTGCTTGCAGATCCCTAAGCAGTGCAGGGTAGTCCGGACATTGGATGGTGGAAGGGTGGTCCTGTCCGTGCTCAAAATCGGACGGGAAGAGTCACATTCTGACTGACTCACATGGAACTGGAACATGGAGAACTCACAGGTGAACTCCATGTCCATTGCTTTCTTATGCTTTCTTATTTTGTTTCGGGCGTGTCGCACGAAGAAACATGTCTTGACCCCAGTTATGAGCCCTGACCGCACGTATAATTACTCTCTTCCATATATATATATATTATATACCCTACACCTCCAAGTACCTCCTCAGAAGGTATGACTGGACCCTCCAAACCCACCCCAAACACCTTCTCAGGAGGTACTTGGAGGCCTAGGGATATATATATATATATATGAATGTGCTGGACTGAAATCTTCCGGAAACAAAGAAGTTCACCTGCCATCCACCGGGTTTCACGAATTCCAACGTTTATTCCTACTGGTCACACCGTTCTGCCGAGGTTGGTGAGAAGTTCACCTGGAGATCAAATTTTGCTGCCCAGCTTCAAAGCTGACCATCTCATCTTCATCCCGAATGGTGGTGGAAATGTCTGTGTGCCCACTATGGATCACGATGACCTGGTACTCGCTGGCCTTCCACTTCTTGTTGCATCCGTTGCGAATGCAGCTGGACAGCTTTTCCTCGGCGGAGGCCCGTGTCGGCTGACCAGGACGCTCAAGTGATGGAGATCACCCCAGCTAGACCTTCAGGAAGCAGAAAGATGAAATAAATAAATAAATATATATATACGATATATATATATAGATATAGATACACATACTTATACTATTTAAATCTCTGAAAGACTTAATCTTGCTGCTTGTAGAGGAGAATGGTCATCCAAGGGGCCATGCCATCCACTTTCATGATGATTGCAGGGAGTGTATAGACTTCAACTTGCTAGTCGAATGAGTCAAAAACATAAGCCAAATGCTAGTTCATCATCGTGCCTGGTGTGTAGGGTGAGCACCCCAATTGTCAGAAGTAGGAACTTCAGTTTTGCGTGTTCGAGTAAAGAGTGAGGTGTACAGAGAGTAGTGAGTAGTGAGTATTAGCTGACAAGTGAGGAGAGTGAAAATGAGATCATACTTCAGTCCAATCATGCCCTAGAATAATTATGAAAATGGATGGCGCCAGGCCCCGCAGCAATGGTGACATGCGAATACCATGGCCAGGTGGTTTTCACTCCCAGCCATGATGACTTCAAGGAGAGTACTTCCAAAAGCCAACAAGTCGGGGATAGAGTTCCATCCCTTTTCAGGGAATTCCCATCCGACTTTTCGATCGTTTTCGTCTCTCTGTTTCGAAGCCCACGCAAGCTAGCTAGGCACGCGCCAAGGCAAAAAGCCAGGTGTCTCGTTGAGTGTCCCAAGCGAGAGGAACCAGTCATATCATCCGAGACCCCTGGTGAGGCACTTTTGTCATGATAACCCCATGCCATTTCAGGTATCTCTGCTATCTATGTGTGTGTGTGGCACTGTGCGCTGTGTTGGGTCCGTTGTGTCCTTCCTCAGATCTTTAAAAAGCGGATGGAAACAACCAGTTCCGCTCGTCCAAGGCTCTTCGCCACCCCAACACATGTTGATCAACATCCGGATGAACTTCTCATCCTCATCGTCGAAGGTCTGAATCGCCGTGCGCTCCAACGATCGAATGGGCGTCCGCGTCGCAGCGGAAGTCGCGCTCCTCGGTGGTCCAAAGGCATCAGGTCGCGGCTGGTCCGGTGGACTCAGGTAGCGGCTACCAGACGTGATCGTGAACTTGTGTAAATATATATACAGCCTCCATGTCACATGCATTTTAGGAACCAAAGTGCTTTTTCAAGGAAATAGGTGACACACACCTAAGATTTAAGAAAAGGAACATGTCCTTAAAAAGATGAGCAAAACATATAGGGAATCTGAAAGAAGACATGTTGAAGTCGATCACAGCCGTTGATCACAGTCTCGTGCTCTCTTCTGTCGGATATTTGTTTCTGGACTCTTCTGAGCGAAGAGGATTGAACGGGACACCTGTGAAATATATCATGACCCCTGCCTTAGATAGGGCCCTAGGCCCGACTAGGCCCCCGTCTGAATCAATATATTAATCTAATTGAAGGTGTACATACCCGATGTTTGAGCAATTGAAGGGCGTCTTTGAACTCAATTATAGTTCTGTTTCTATAAATGTTGCAGGTCGGGCCCCCCACTGCACCCCTAACTCATCGACACCTCATCGACACCTCACAAACCGTGGCAAACCCCCCCATCCACAGCCGCCCCCCACGTCATACGTGAGCAGCGCTCAAAAACGAAAGTGGCCAGGAAAGCCATGCAAAGCAAGCAGGAAAGCATCCATCACACTCAAAAAACCTGGCGACGAAAATGAACTCGGGGGGTTGGCCTCTGGAGGAGGGTTCGAATAAATTAGTTGGCTAGCTCGATTACTGGGGACATTAAAAAAACTATAATAAATAGTTAGACCCTGAATATTCTGAAACTTGCATCGACGTCCTTAGGTCCTTCGTTACTTTGGTTCCTCTCTCTCTCTCTCCCTCCCACCCCGCCCTCCGTGATAATTAATTGAGGGGTGTGTGACCTCTCCACTACCTCTCAAGTTCTATTTTTAAATCTGACTTAGGTGTTTACCAAAATTGTCGCCACATAGTCGGAGAAAAATAATAATTGAGAAAACACTCATTCGTAGGTAACCCCCCCTTCCAATTCATTAATTGGTGGAGGGGTCATGCTATACATATGTATATAATATATATATATATCATAGCCGTGTAGGATACGGCAGGGGGGACCTGTGGGCCATTTTATAGATGTAAAGTGTTGAGGGGTGACCCCCCATGTAGTATACTTTGGGGGAGGGACCTACCCCACCACTTATATAAAATGGCCGGGCCCCACCTCAGTTTGTGATGTCTGATTCTCTGTTTCCTGCGTTCAAAGACTACCTGTTCAAAGACTACCCTTCAAAAAGTGATAGCAGCTCCCAAACTTCAGGTATCAAATGTGTCTCTGCGTCTGATTGATCATGCAATCAAGCATGATTGCTTGCCAAAACTGACAACCCATCTCTGCAAACTAGATTTTCTCTATAGAATCAAGACCCCACCCCCGCACAGGGGTAGGCATGAAACGTTTTCTGAAGTCCGTGCACCCCCCTCATTTCATAGGGGAATCCTACATGGCTATTATATATCCTTCGCCTGAAAGGTGGCTGGGCTTATATATTGTTAAGATATTGTTAAGTTCATGGCCAAAAACCTTTAGCCCAACATATCCAAAAGAGACCAACATGGTGAGCTTTGTCTTGCTTCCAAACGGGTGAGCTTTCTTTCGGCACTTTCCGGATTTCCGGCACAACAAAATTGATATGTTTTGACACACTGCAGATTTAAAAGGTTAACCTGCACCTGATACCCTTAAAAAGGAAGAAAGTGAACAGAAAACACACAACTGTTCTAGTTACTTGTTCCTGACATGAACTAAAATCTACACATTCACAGCACTAGGTCACTATATATGTTCGTTCATTCCATATATGATCAAATCTGCGTCTCTGGGTGACTGGTAGGGTCAGAAGCGAAGAAAAGGGGGACAGTCCCGGACCATCCATGGGACGGCCATATATATATGCCTACATTGACCCCCCCCAAACCATCCCAATTTAGGTCAATATGCCAGTCCCATGGATGGTCTGGGAGTGGTTGGCTCGTGGTTGGCACCATATGACCGACGCCAGCTGTTCGATGGCACTTCTCCAGCATCTCTCAAGGGTTGTGCCGCATGGTTTCGTTCAAGCACTGTACGAGGAAAACACACCAAAACAGGAGTTTTTGTTGAAATAGGGAGAGTTGTAGCCCCTTGGTGGGTACTACAAACATGCATACACCAAAAAAAGCTGGTTGGGAGTTGGTTGGGGGTCTCCCTATTTCAACACATCGCCGAGCTTAGCGTCGAGTTCGCTTCAACCATCGCGCGGAAGCCCGTCTCGGTGTCTCGAATGGCGGAAGCTGTGAGGAGCAACGTGGCAAAGAGGCGCTTCATGTTTTGGATGACCTGGGACAAGGAACATGAGGGAACATCATCGTTCAAACCACTTCGCTTTTCTGCTTGAGATAGGGCATGTTGGTTTTGCTTGAGCAATCAAACGTGTCTCCAAGAAAGGACTCCTATGGTTCAATGATGAATAAAGCACTTGATCTTTTCCTAGGAGAGTCCAAACTTCAGCCAGGTGGAAGGTTCACTTTCGACCGAAGTGCCCAGAGGAATGACATTTGGGGCATGCTTTCGACACCCCATTTGAGCTCCTTTTTCCAGGCTGCCAATGCTTGATCTACAGCTGGGTGTAGCGCTGAGGTTGGCTTTGGAATGCTTTGAGCAAGGGACGCTGTTACACTTCAATATCTGCCTGTTTAATTCCTCTTTCACAACCACCCGAACAAGGGAAATCCCCAGAACCATGACAGCAAACTAATCCCTTATTGTCATCAAATGTGGGAACTAGAACAACTGCAAGGCACTCGCTCGTTTGCTCATCCCAAGAGAATTTGGCACCTGACAGAAAAATAAAGCATAAAAACATCTTTGGAGCAAAGAACCAAGCCACTTCAGCAAGCAACGGAACACTTCGCGATTTCTCGCGTCTATGGAGCCCACAACCAGGCTTGAGCACAGAATGGGCGGCATGGAAGTGGATCTGGTCAGGCTGGCGCCACACATGCAAAGCTCGGTGCAGTTTTAAGGATCTCACAGAAGTGGGGCATCGCCAGGTCATGATCTGTTCAGAACCTTCAGAACATTGGTTGAATCATCCACATTGGTTACACTAGTTGGACATCCGCATGCTAGTTCGGATACGTCCTCTCTGATCAGTATCAGTGGGTGGACGGCTGCTCGATGGATCAGCTGTTGCAAGAAAAACAACTAGCGAACCAGAACAGATGTTGTTAAGGGCGGAGGCATGGTCTTGGGAAACCTGTTTTGGCGGTAAACATATGAAGACTTCAAATAATCGCCATCCAACTATGCATACATATTCATATTCCGTTACTTTATTTATTTCATAGTATAGTATACAATTAGTTAAATAGACAGTACTCCAACAAACTGCTGCTAGGCTCCACCATCGTCAGCCTACCATTTTCGGTGGAGCCTTTCCTCTTCTACCAAGGCACCGGTGTATTCGTCGCCGGCACTCCAGCGCATCCGCCCTGAAGGCCGTCGTGGGGCGGGTGGAAAAGTTCACAAGTTACCCCAAGTTGGGTGTTCGAAATATTTCCCAATATGAAAAACATGGTCCTAGTCGGTGCTTTTTAGTGGCGGCATGGCCATCTAGTCTACTCTCAACACCACTGTCACGTGTTTCGGAAAAAACATGTTGGATCGGTATGAGCCTCGGTCCAAACCCCTGCGGTTGGGTTGAAGTCAAAACCCAGCCGCGAACGAGGACCAGGTCAAAAGCCTCTGCGTTGGAGGACTTGAACCGTCCGAAGCTTGAAAACAAAGCTGGCTTTGAAGAAGAGGATCGAAGGGCTTCCGAAGGGCTGTTTTCATTTTGTTGTTTTCTTGCTGGGGGTCGAACAGAACCCTCAGGTATCAGGCTGAGCATCTGCTTGCTTGGCTGTGCAACTGGCTGTGCACCTGTCCCTGTTCTACTGGCCTGGTTTTGGAGGGTTTCGATGATGTATAATTGATGTATGAGTTATACAAGTAGTAGCCGCAGTGTCGCAGTGTCTGGGCAGTACATAATAGCTATGGTGTAGTAGTGAGTAGGAGTAGGGCCTTAAGGAAGCAAAGCTCGTTTTTGGCGCAGAAGCTTCACCCTCTTGTTTTACAAGGATGTGTCCATCATCTTGAACATCCGGGTCGATCTGTCAGTAGAACCCTGCTTCTGCCTTGGCCGTGGAATTGACGCTTCGCAAACCTCAGGATGAGATCGTCAAGGTCCAAAGAGATTCTCTTTCCACTCGATGGTAAAAGGGATGGCCTATGAGTGTATGATAGTTGAAATATACTCTTTTATGATGATGGTTTTGGATGGATTGGATCCAAGCGAATTCCAAAGAGATTAAAGGACAGAATTGAGTATACTTCAGCATCGAAAATCATCTGACGCCGGCTAGAAACCACAATTGCAGAAAACGAACCTTTTTCAGATTAAAGCCACACTTGGGGGCAGTGTGGCTTTACCAGCTATAGAAGTGGTGTTCGTGGACCTCTTTGGACAGGTGTTCTACCGAACATGTTGTTTTAATATCAGCACCACGGAAGGGGTGGTGATTGGATGGAAAATGCAGTCAGGGGTCTCCATAAACCACCCTTTCCGTGGTGCTGGTAACCCTTATATAAAGACTTAGACTTAGACTCTACCTCATTATAACTCCCCTTTCAAGTGGCCACTCCGCTCCCAGTTCATGGCACCGTCCCCGCGTCCTGCGGAAACCGTACATTGAGGTCTCGACTGGCCGTAGTACTCGCTACCATCTTCGTAGGTCTGGCGAGACGCTTTTGACTCGTGATGCGTGCTGCCGCCGTCGTGGTGTGCGGCGAGCCCACGGAGTTGGGCCGAAGCACGACGAGTTGGGCCGAGCGTGGTGTCTCGGTTTCAGGATTTGCCTCGGTGGGCCGGTCTCTGCCAGTTGCCTCCACATGAGCGACTTGGTCCGAGAAAAATGCTACACTCATTGGTACAAAGCGTATACAGAGCGAGCGCTGTTTCAGGAACAGACCAATGAACCATGGATCTCCCTATGAACTCCTCACTGCTTCAGGGAATGTTGCAAAATGGTCTTGTGCAATCTTAAAGAAAAAAGTGAAGGGCAAGGCATGGGGTTTGGTGTCCAGGCTTGGGTTTCCCCTCTGTCAATGTCTGAACAGCGCAAGAAGTATATATAAATTCTTCACTGGACTTGCCTGCACAGGTCTTCTCTTTCGGCAAACTTCCCCGTAGCACCGATTTGCGCTCAACGCCGTGTAGTACTGGTAGAAGGCATATACGCAGAACATGTGCGCTAAGCTACTGGGCCACCCTCGTTCTCGAAATCAATAGCGCTCAAATCGATCTCAAAGCTCTTGGGCTTAACGAGACTCTGAAATCTCTCATCTCCATACTGGACGAGTCATGTCCACCACGTCCAACAGGAGTTAGCTGTTGTGTCAGACGTTGTGTCACTTCTTTCACAACCGTCGCGCCGTGCGGAATCCAGGGAATGAATTGAGGCTTCAGTTGCTTTAGTGAGCTGTTTACGACGACCAGCTGAGCTGTGCTGGCTGTTGTTGACGTGCTGTTGACAACCTCGTTGGCTGCTTGACAACCTCCACCTTTTTGTTTCGGGGGGGGGGGGAAGTCTTCACACCCGAAACAAACTCTGCATGAAGTCCCCAAAAACCCAAAAACACGACTCGCGGTCTGCACTGCAGTCCGCCCCATGAAGTCCTCCCTTCCACTCAGTGGCGTACTCAAGGGAGAAACTAAGAATGTACAACAATACCAATATGAAGTCCCGCAAAACACTCTCCAACACCCAAAACCTTAGCACAGTGCTTCACTGCACCATCCCAGTTCGTCGCCGCCGTCGCCCAGCCGCCCCAAGTTCGCGCCTGGCGACACAGGCTCTGGTCCAAGCCGAGACCATCGGCCACCAGTCCAGAGACCTCAAACCACGGCGGCGGTCGAAGCACCAACCCCCGCCCGCCACGCGACACGCGGTGGTCGACACGTCGCAAAGGTTTCAGTGTTGGGGAGCCATAAAACACGGGTTCACTGATTGGCCTACATTTAATGATCTTGAAAAAGCAAGTCTCCAGGCAAGATGGGTGACCAATGAATCGGCCGGAAGAATTTGGCAGGACAGGACAGGAAGCACGAGTTCAGGTTCCGATTTAAACACAAAAAAACATGACCCGGCGCCAGAACCTGTCATGGCTCCAGACTTATAAAAATATATAATTTATACCACAGTTACATATGAGTCCCCCCCTTGTCCACCCTCCATGCTTCCAACCAATTGCTCACATCTTAAGTCCATTCTGGCAAAGGAGTCCGTCACCGCGCCACGTCCGCGCCACGCCGGTCCAAGCACGGTCCAACCAGGTGTTGTGCGTTGGACGAGGGGAAAGCGGCCCCCATGGCGAGTCGGCGCGGCAAGGGAGCTGAGATGAGGAAGTTCTGAGAAAACTAGAGAATCTTTCTGTGATATTCGCTCACTCTGAACAGTTCTTGTTCTTAATCTTCACGTGCGAATCATCATCACTCCACCGTAGTTTCACCCCCCGCATGGGTCTCTTTCTTCTTGCGAATCTATAAGGAATCTGCAGAATCTCAAGTCCATCCCCCAAAAAAATCTTGCTTGCACCCCAAAGGGGGGATGTCCCCCCACTGTTGGCCCACCAATGCTTTTGAAGAGGTTGATGCAGATGGATTGGACAGCTTTTGGACCACCAATCCAGTGGTGTTGCTCAGAAGGACTTTGCTTTCGCGGCTGTTGGGATCTCCAAGGCTGGGTTTTACCATCAAAAAGAAGCTTCACACCTTGGGGACCCCTTCAATTCAAGTGCTCCAAATGGTCTGTTTCACAAAAAGGAGTGCTGGGCACCAAGATCTCACAAGAGTATGTTGGAAACAACGGCTCCGCGATGTTCCGCAATTATAAATGCACATTCCCAGTTGTGGGGAGGCAGCTGCTGTGAGTTTAACATCCTCTATACATTCTCCAATACAAAGCCTTGGCAAACTGTCTGGCATTCAGATCCAAGCTGTTCAATCTGGATTCGATTGATGCGGCCGGCAAGCAACATGAGAACTAGGCCTTCTCTAATCAATGATGGGTGGGTAGACTAAACAGTCCTTCTGATGGTTCTGAGTCCGGTGTTCCCTCCCCTCTCAGAGTGGTTGGACCCCCGAGCCACTCACCATGTGTTTACCCACACAAATCCAGCCAATAACCATCCCAACTCGGTGGTGCAGGTTTGTAGTATAGTAAATTGATCGAACGGTCGAACTGGTGGATTCCATGGATTCTTTCAAAGGATAAGATACTGTTTGGTTGATCCAACTTGGAAGTGCTATTCCAGTGGAAGAGTTGCATCTCTTTTGAAGCAACGCAAAGCACACAGGTGCCGTCGGAGCGGAGCGACCAACAACTCGTGACCCAGCTCAGAGAGCTCTCCCTGTCTTCGTGGAGAGATTCGTGTGGATCGAATATGATCGAAATGGATCGAATTATATCGAATTATACCCCCCTAAACTAAACCCTGAACCCCCCCCGAGTCGCCAGCGGCGAAAATCCCCGAGTGCCAACTCGCTACGGCATCCACCGGGACCTCGCCAACGGAGTCTGTTTCCGTGTGGAAGAAAGCTTATAGGAAAACAACCTGAGTTTGTTCATTGAAGAACACCAATCCGAACGGTTCTCGCGTGCGGTTTTCCCATGTTTTCCCTTATAAAAGCTCTACACACACCGGTACCGGCTCGCCGAGCTCAGTGTGGACAAACCGACTCCGTGAAGGGAGTCGGACTCAGTTGGAAGCGACCAGGACGATCTTTCGTCTGACTAGATGATCCGAGTCTAGGAGATCCTTTGCTTCAGTGGTCCCAGCTGGACTTCTATGGGTATGGTCCTTTTTGGGGGTGGGTGAAATGTGAACTTTTGGACGAAGTATTGGCCAACTGGTCCGCCCTTCTTGGTGCTGAAGAATCTTGGCACTCGCGACCCGCATCTGGCCGAAAAGCATAGCACTTGATCGGAAGAATCCCACTTGAATGGTCTGAAAATC